CTCTATAAAACTGATAAAATAGTGGCGCTATGGTGCAGTGCTCTCTTAAACGTATTGCCACAGCATTCACCCTCCGTCCCACGCCAGTCTAACCGTCTTTTATCGCAAAAATTTTTATTTACCCGGCCCGACCCTAATTTCTTTCGTTTGGTAATTTTCGTCTTACTCGCGAAATCTTGCACAATCTAACTTTAGATTGCCCAAAACTGTGCTTCAGATCTGCTTATTATGTAGAATTCTAGTTTTATCAGAAAAGTGCCTAAATTGACAACTCGTAAGTAAATTTATAGTTCAATAGTTGTCTTATGGCGATCCTGCCACCTATGTTGCCATTGTATCATCTTAATGAATCCTACTAGAATACGTCCTGGCCTTGCCACAATAAGGTTTATATTACGGTCAAATTTAGCAAAATATCCTGCTACTTTGAAATTAGAAAACACAAGGTAGAGAGAAAAAACATATCAAATTTTTAGCTGCAGTGCAATAAGAGCTTAATTACTAACGACTTTAATGGCAATGCATTTTTTAAGTATAGCGAGATATTCATTATTACCGATGTAAATTAAGTCTACAGACGCTTTTGCTGTTTCATCCATGAGCCATTCCGAAGGGGGGAGGGTGCTATGGGTGCGGCCCGCGCGCCTTTTTTCCCAGAGTTTATCGACGCGGGAATTAGTTATTAGCGCCGGCAAGCTCAATTCGTTGCACAATTCATTGACTGCAATGCATTCTGACGTCTTGACTCAAACCAAAATTTATTTTCTAAAATATTGGCCCAAAATGTGTGCAAAAATCGCTCCCAAATAAGGCTGCAGATCCGTATCCAGAAAGCTCTAAACCTTAGCTTCAGGGGCCTAGCGCCGCTGAACGCCCTGGCAATGAAGGCAACTATACGCGCTTCGTAATGTGCGCTTCGCGCACCCTTATGTCAACATGAAATTTTAATATCTATGCGTACATCATGTCATGGCCCACCCCGCTTTAAAACAAGCTAGCAACGGCCCTGAATCCAGCCCTGTCAATTCACCCTAAAATAATTCATTCACCCTCGGCGAGAATTTTTTTATTTTGATGAGTTCTGTTGATAGGCACGCACGGTTTTTGACTACCCACGTAGGCTCGAGAGTGTGCTGCAAATAAGCCAGAAAAGTATTTTGGCTAATGAGGCGCGCGTACCTACTAGCCGTGAAACCGATTTTAAACGTACTTTTCCCGTCAAGACACCACGCACCCCACCCCCCCGGGGCGTCGCCCGCACCGCCGCGCCGCGCCCCCGGCGCCTACCCCCTCCCCGCACGCCCCACGGCAACTGCCAACTCACGGCCCCCACCGCGCGCGCGCGAGCGAGCGTCTTCTAAGCATAGAGCCAGCTCTGTTGCTGGTGAAAGATCTATCGTGTCTGTATTCCCTCCTTACACTCGTACTCTAAACCCGCCCCCGCACGCGACCGTACTACTGCGCTATGGCCGTAAGCAAACGTGCCCAAACGTGCCCACGTGTGTCTGACCATGTCAACCTCCCACGGCCCCCCACCGCCACTCCACAACCGTGGCACACCCCCCACCTTCCATAACCCGCCCGCAACGCACGCGGCCACCGGCTGTGGGGCACCCAGGCATATCCACTACAGATCACACCGCCGGCGCCCCACCCCATAACGCACCACACACCGTCCGAGCACACACACAGCCACCAATGCACAGCACACACCACCACACCGCAAACCAAACACGTCGCCACGTAACATACAACGTACACACAGACCGCAGCATACCCACACACGCGGCGCTGCGCAACGAACCACACACAAAGGCAATACATCACACCACAGCCGCGCACTTCCACAAGGCAATATAGCGCAAATACACACACGCGACCGCACGCACACACATCATACGCACGACAGCACACGCACACTCACACACATACACAGTGCCGAGCCGCCGAACACACACACACACACAACAACAACACACAAACAGACATACATATATGTTTATAACATATATATATATATATATATATATATATATATATATATATATACAAACATGCATGCATAGTGCACGCATGTATCTACTCGTTAGGTGGGATTGCGTGCAATAGAGGATAAATGGCGGTCATTGACTTTAGATTAACTCAAGCGAACCACCATAATAACTGGTCGGCGGGTATATTTGGTTTAACGAAAACAATGTTAGCATATAGAGAGTGTAATATGGTACTGTATCCGTAAAAAGTAAATCACAAACATTACCAGCAATGCTAGTTGAGGCCGACTTGCAAGTTGAAGATGTTAAACCAGTTTATAATTTGATCGAGACAGCTGCAGGCGCATAGGCGCACACAGCATGCATGCCAATTGGGCGTCTCACCTTCGGTTGCTGTCTCACTCATTTTCATTTTGTAATGAAGGTTGATAGGGCATTTCGGTTATAACGTTATTAGATTGAGAGAGAGAGAGAGAGCGAGAGAGCGAGAGAGAGAGAGAGAGAGAGAGAGAGAGAGAGAAAGAGAGAGAGAAAGAGAGAGACAGAGAGACAGACAGACGGACGGACGGAAGGACGGACAGACAGACAGACGCAGACAGATAGGCAGGCAGGTAGACACAGACAGGCAGGCAGGCAGGCAGGTAGACAGGTAGGCATGCAGGCAGCGGTTGATTATTCACTTATATATTATACATTATATATATGATAAAATGTATAAAATACCAATTACTGTAACGTAACCTTTTCCTTTAAATGGAGTCAGTGCTGCGGTTAGGGTTGGGGTACAGAATTTGTAGTTGAAGGATCATCTCCGTTAGGACTCCGTTAGCAAGTAATCAATGCGATATTAGACTACGTCATGCTCGACGCATAATTCCATGTTTATAGTTCTATGTCCAATTCCATATTCAGCTATATGCACATTTGTTGCACACGGAAAGCGTGCCTAAGGGCGCAGTCGCTTACGGAAGGGAGCTATGGTAAATATCATCAGACTGCTAGCTTGGATATGTGATGTAACAGATATCTAGCTTGTACGATGGTCATGGCACTTTGATGTGCAACAACAGTAACTGGATGGGCAGCCATGAATTGACAGACTAGCCGCGCGCGTGTATACGTACACGCATGCCTACACAGCTACAAAGCATGGTACCACAGGTGCATGGGTAATCCAGGTCACTGGCACACTCTTACTGACCCAGTTTAAATTCAGAAATATAGATGGCAAATATATGCAGTCAGTTGGTTGAAGCACATGAGACGCCTTTTACTTAAAAACAAACAAATTACTATATTAATTAAGAGCGGTATCACTGCATGATATAATATAATGTAAGATCAAATGTACTTAGTGCAAGCAAAGTAAACCGCGAGAGTGCCTGATACGAACTTTCATAGTAATTTTTCGATGTATCGGGAGCACATGGTTCAAGCATAGAGGTAACTAACTCAGCACCGCCTTCCTAAAGCTATTAACATTATTTAAAGAGCAGCGCTGTCATAATAGTAATCAGTTGCAATACTTATCTACAGGTGGCAACCCAATACCGTACGTATTTATACTGCATTAGCAAAACGGAGTTAGATACGGTGGCCAGTTTTTGTGGACGCACACCTATTTTTAAAAGTGACGCTATAAATAAGTATTAGAACATTTTAATAGTTACATGTGCAATACACACAACACACAACGAAGATATATGATCTGCTAGTTTGAAACGTAGACCACGAAACACACCATTCAATTTATGGATCAGTCAATGATT